CCCTTGGTCTAAGGATGCTCCAGACCAAATTTAGGCAAAATCTACTTAGCCGGACGCTGCGGTAGGGCATAAGCTCCCCATGGTACTTCGGACCAGGTGAGCTAAAAACAAGAAGTAGAATAAAACTCATATAAATAAAAGTAATTCAATGCTTTTTAACATTTCTACCTAGCTATAACAATACCCATTGTAAATTTATATAAAATGATTCCATATTTAAAATACAGATCAGCACTTTTAATAAATATGTATGGATAATCAATATTGAAAATATATTATAAAAGGCATAGTTTCCCCACTATATTATAAACAAAGATTAGAAGATATAAATTCATGTATCAAGCTTTCAACACATGTGACATACACATCTAGTGCAAACATGGTTTGTGTGAGGCAGGGTATATCTTAATTAGTTTGACATCAATAATATCCATGGGAATTAACTTTCAAAGTACCATACATACTGATGATCAACACAGCTGTAAATGGTGAAAACCTGTTTGAAGAACAACAATCAAAACTTTTTTTAAACTGACCTTTACTCCCATGAATTGTGTTTATATGTAAAACAGTAAACACATTATAACAAAACATCTGTTTACATGACACTCTACAGCTACAGTAGTGATTTATCAATGGTCAGTCCTAGCAGGCTGTCACATGACACTCTACAGCTACAGTAGTGATTTATCAATGGTCAGTCCTAGCAGGCTGTCACATGACACTCTACAGCTACAGTAGTGATTTATCAATGGTCAGTCCTAGCAGGCTGTCACATGACACTCTACAGCTACAGTAGTGATTTATCAATGGTCAGTCCTAGCAGGCTGTCACATGACACTCTACAGCTACAGTAGTGATTTATCAATGGTCAGTCCTAGCAGGCTGTCACATGACACTCTACAGCTACAGTAGTGATTTATCAATGGTCAGTCCTAGCAGGCTGTCACATGACACTCTACAGCTACAGTAGTGATTTATCAATGGTCAGTCCTAGCAGGCTGTCACATGACACTCTACAGCTACAGTAGTGATTTATCAATGGTCAGTCCTAGCAGGCTGTCACATGACACTCTACAGCTACAGTAGTGATTTATCAATGGTCAGTCCTAGCAGGCTGTCACATGACACTCTACAGCTACAGTAGTGATTTATCAATGGTCAGTCCTAGCAGGCTGTCACATGACACTCTACAGCTACAGTAGTGATTTATCAATGGTCAGTCCTAGCAGGCTGTCACATGACACTCTACAGCTACAGTAGTGATTTATCAATGGTCAGTCCTAGCAGGCTGTCACATGACACTCTACAGCTACAGTAGTGATTTATCAATGGTCAGTCCTAGCAGGCTGTCACATGACACTCTACAGCTACAGTAGTGATTTATCAATGGTCAGTCCTAGCAGGCTGTCACATGACACTCTACAGCTACAGTAGTGATTTATCAATGGTCAGTCCTAGCAGGCTGTCACATGACACTCTACAGCTACAGTAGTGATTTATCAATGGTCAGTCCTAGCAGGCTGTCACATGACACTCTACAGCTACAGTAGTGATTTATCAATGGTCAGTCCTAGCAGGCTGTCACATGACACTCTACAGCTACAGTAGTGATTTATCAATGGTCAGTCCTAGCAGGCTGTCACATGACACTCTACAGCTACAGTAGTGATTTATCAATGGTCAGTCCTAGCAGGCTGTCACATGACACTCTACAGCTACAGTAGTGATTTATCAATGGTCAGTCCTAGCAGGCTGTCACATGACACTCTACAGCTACAGTAGTGATTTATCAATGGTCAGTCCTAGCAGGCTGTCACATGACACTCTACAGCTACAGTAGTGATTTATCAATGGTCAGTCCTAGCAGGCTGTCACATGACACTCTACAGCTACAGTAGTGATTTATCAATGGTCAGTCCTAGCAGGCTGTCACATGACACTCTACAGCTACAGTAGTGATTTATCAATGGTCAGTCCTAGCAGGCTGTCACATGACACTCTACAGCTACAGTAGTGATTTATCAATGGTCAGTCCTAGCAGGCTGTCACATGACACTCTACAGCTACAGTAGTGATTTATCAATGGTCAGTCCTAGCAGGCTGTCACATGACACTCTACAGCTACAGTAGTGATTTATCAATGGTCAGTCCTAGCAGGCTGTCACATGACACTCTACAGCTACAGTAGTGATTTATCAATGGTCAGTCCTAGCAGGCTGTCACATGACACTCTACAGCTACAGTAGTGATTTATCAATGGTCAGTCCTAGCAGGCTGTCACATGACACTCTACAGCTACAGTAGTGATTTATCAATGGTCAGCCCTAGCAGGCTGTCACATGACACTCTACAGCTACAGCAGTGATTTATCAATGGTCGACCCTAGCAGGCAGTCTTTTTCATCATATACAAACTTACAATTACATTTCTGTTCTCCTACAACTTTTTGTTTCAAGTTGTTAGGACACCATCAATGAAACACAACCCAGTATGTTTTGTGCAATGACCTGGTGGATTAGGAACAGGAACTGTTAGTGTAATGACCTGGTGGATTAGAAACAGGAACTGTTAGTGTAATGACCTGGTGGATTAGGAACAGGAACTGTTAGTGTAATGACCCGGTTGATTAGAAACAGGAACTGTTAGTGCAATGAACCAGTCGATTAGAAACAGGAACTGTTAATGTAATGACCTGGTGGATTAGGAACAGGAACTGTTAGTGTAATGACCCGGTTGGTTAGAAACAGGAACTGTTAGGGTAATGACCCGGTTGATTAGCAACAGGAACTGTTAGTGCAATTAACCAGTCGATTAGAAACAGGAACTATTAGTGTAATGAACCAGTCGATTAGAAACAGGAACTGTTAGTGTAATGTCCTGGTCGATTAGAAACAGGAACTGTTAGTGTAATGACCTGGTGGATTAGGAACAGGAACTGTTAGTGTAATGTCCTGGTGGATTAGAAACAGGAACTATTAGTGTAATGAACCAGTCGGTTAGAAACAGGAACTGTTAGGGTAATGACCTGGTGGATTAGAAATAGGAACTGTTAGTGTAAGGTCCTGGTGGATTAGGAACAGGGACTGTTAGTGTAATGACCTGGTGGGTTAGAAACAGGGACTGTTAGTGTAATGACCTGGTCGATTAGAAAAAAGAACTGTTAGTGTAATGATCCAGTCTATTAGAAACAGGAACTGTTAGTGTAATGATCCAGTCTATTAGAAACAGGAACTGTTAGGGTAATGACCTGGTGGATTAGGAACAGGGACTGTTAGTGTAATGACCTGGTCGATTAGAAACAGGAACTGTTAGTGTAATGACCAGGTCGATTAGAAACAGGAACTGTTAGTGTAATGACCTGGTCAATTAGAAACAAGAACTGTAAGCCACATATTAATTTCCCTGTGTAATTCTGTTCAGTCAGCTCCAGGTCCACGAACACAATGTATAATAGGTACGTGTAGTTTGGAAGCAATTTTATTAACTTCTTAAATGACAAAATACAACGTCACAAAGGGGGATAACTGATATGACTAACAGCCAAAATAAAACAGACCTTCACAGAGAAAAGTTTATCATACTGGGCTGATATGCTACTGGTTATTTTTCTCAGTAAACAATTAAAATTTAATAAGATAACAAGACTTCATTTTTAAGTGGCTGACGTTAACATCTATTTCAGTATATGTATAATGATGAGACAAAGTGTTGAAATGTAACAATACTGTTTCAGTAATGATGAATGTTTTAATGCTTCTATTTCAGTCATAATAAAAATTGACATACATCTGTTTTAGCAATGAATAGTGTTAACAAGAGGCCCAGAGGGCATGAATCGCTCACCTGGATATCTAAGCAATCATGGCAAAATATTCTCCAAATGAGATCCAAGGGAATATGCCAGACCTCAAGGCCAATCCTTGTAGCATATCTGTATTTGATTTTTTATGCCCAGCAATTTTATGTATGGTTATGGGGTGGGGATCTCAACTGTTTCCAAGCTGTGACTCAGAAACTAGGTCCCTAGGGTTGTGGCCAGACCCCAGGATAAATTCTAATATCATGACTGCATT